TATGACCCTTAAGGTCAATGACCGAAGCATATGCATAATTATGTCAAGATGGCTACCTAGTATTCAACAGTGGTTTAACCACGCTATTTAAGTTGTAATGCCTGTCATTTCATAACCCCTCAAGTTTAAAAATCACTTTTTTGGAGAATATTCAAACACCACAGTGTGTCTTATTGTGTTACTGACAAAAGTTAAAAACACACACAGTCATTAAAAATTTTGCATGAAAATGAGGTATTTTTCTGTATGAAGCTGATATGCACTAACTTTATAAACACACTATTCAACCAATCAGTATCATTGTTTTATGTAAAATATTAAACACAAACTACATCTGTTATCTGCTTCATTATAAACCATATTATATATTATCGGTGCTGATAGTATTTTTTTTTTTAAATATGAACTAACAAATAAGGCTAAAAATGAATATTGAGTTATACATTTATTTGGATATTGCAGTGCATTTTAAATATTTTAAATATTTTTGTTTCCAAGTGAACAGTATTGTAATAGCTGCGCATGTGTACATTTTCTTGTGTCACCTACATAGCGTGCATTCATACAAACACAATATGGCGGAAAGGGATGACTTGTCATATTTAGTATGTCTTCTGATACAAGCCTGCAAATACGTCCAGTATATGCAACTCATCGTCTGCCTGCACGGTGTTGTTTGAACATTCCTCCCTCCACAACCACAACACTATTACCAGGCTCTATGGTCGCAAGGCTGGTAAAGCATAATAACATAATGATTTACCATTTCAATTGCGACTAAGAACGAACACATCAGAATCTGAACTAAGTATAGCTTGAATAGCTTTGGTCTGAATATCTGTGAGTTGTATGATGTCTTGATATCGTCGCAGTATTGCCCCAACATCAAAGCCAACAAAGCTTTCACTGTGCGCTGCCATATTTGCTTTGATATCTTGGCCAAGCGCGTTGATGAAAGAAGCAATCTAATTGGCTGTTGATAAACTGAACTGTGGGGGCACTGTCACATACACATAGCTCTAATGAAATAATTCAAGGAGTGCTTTGCTGGAACATTCACCTTTAAAATTTAAGATGATGCAACTGCATATCCTGCATCATATACATGCAGACTGGCCATCTATAAATTGGTTGATAAGGCACATTATGTTTCGGTGGGATTCGTCATGTACGCATGCGTAGTTATGATGACACTTGTTTTCATCTTCAAGAAAATGTCATATTTTAAATGATCAAGTAATTATAAGATAATGTTATGCAAATAGTATGCATGTTATGCAAATGGTATGGTATGAAATTAAGATCCAACAACTTTTCTGAGCGTTTATTGCGTTTTGTAATTATAAATATTATAATAGCACAGTAAATGAAACTATAGTCTGTTTCACATTTAGCGTGTCTAAGACATGCCAAAATTGTACGTGTATGCAGCACAAAAATTTGCTAGGGGCATGGTCATTCTAAAAAAAATTGTGAAACCAGCTTCTCAATGTTGTAGGTCATTCTTAACCACTATGAACTGTGCGTATTTGTATATCATACATGTAGTATGCATAAAGTAACAAAATAATGAAATTAAATTTTATTGAAAATTAATGATTTCCTGTAAACTTTCACATCAGAATTTATCATGTTTTGTCTTTAGCAAAAAATAGTAGTGAAAATTATGTAGATTAAATATACGCTTGACATGAATTTGTGTGTGGGTTTATTCTGTGTGTATTTGGATCTGGTGCAGCCAACAAGCAATAAATTGAAATAGCCAATTCTTTGGGACGACATTTATTTTATGGGCTTTTTGAAGTATGCTAATTAATATAAAGGAAAGTGGGAAATTAAAAGCTGTTCATAAGCTACCCTAAACCTGAACAAAATTGTCTTCCCCTCCTGCTGACCAAATTCATCTTTCTCTTCTGCCCTCATTGGAAAACATTTTTTTGCCAACTCCCCTACTGCCAACTTGCCTTTCTTGCCCTCCTGTTGAACAAATTCATATTTCCCCTCCCCTCATTAAAAAAACACTTCCCACATTTAGCAGATGTTATTTCCCCCAATGCATTTTTTTATCATACCCTGCCCTAAAGGCTGTTTTGCCCACCCTGCGATATTTTTTTATGTAAGTACCCTTCCCACTAAAAAATTTTCCCTATTCATGCATTTTTTTAGAAATCTGCCCTGCCCACTGGGGGTACTTTTATTTCCCGCCCCCTACAAAAAATAGCAAAAATCTTCTGCCCTCAACAAAAATCCCTTGGAATGGCTTTTCCGAAAAACAGCTCCATTGGCTGCACCTGTTGGATGTTCTAATCTTGGTGTTTTTCCAGTGATTTCTCTAGGTGCAATCCAAATACAGTAGATGTGTCTTGTTGGCCAACTTGTTAGTTTGTTTCATGTGGTTGATTACTGGCATGTTGATTTCCCATCAGGCCATTAGCCAGGAATTTGCAACTGCCAGTCCAAAACAATTTAACTTCATGAAAATGTAGATGGTTTTGGATATATTTTGGTAAAATTATCAAAGACCAATCGAAAAAAAACCCCAGACTAGCAGCCTGTTGACTGAGATAGCTCCGCTGTTATCAATGCACATTTTAATTAAAGAACTGAAGATATCATCAGAAAATGAACAATAGTTTTGAAGCAATCAGACTTGCTGTTTTCAACAAAAATTTGAAAATATAACTTTTTATCAAAAATATTCATTAAAATTAGATAATTGAAGAATAAAATCATCACGAAATGAACAAATCTGAGAGTGGTCTACCTGTAATACTTATGTAGTATATATACCCTGATAATATCAAAGCATAATTGCGGTTTTTAACAAGAAGTCAAAAATATCACATTTTACCAAAAATGACAAAAATATTTATGAAAATTAGAGAATTAAAGATATCATCACGAAATGAACAAACCTGAGAGAGGTCCACTTGTAGTACCTAGATATGTAATATCAAAGCAATTGGACCTGCGATTTTTAACAAGAAGTCGAAAATATCACTTTTTACCAAAAGTTACAAAAATATTCATGAAATTAGAGAATTAAAGATATCACGAAATGAACAAATCTGAGAGAGGTCCACATGTAGTACCTAGATATGTAATATAAAAGCAATTGGACTTTCGGTTTTTAACGAGAAGTCGAAAATATCACTTTTTACCAAAAATGACAAAAATATTCATCAAAATTAGAGAATTAAAGATATCATCACAAAATGGTCAAATCTGAGAGAGGTCCACCCAAGATACCTACATACTAAGTATCAAAGCATTTGGGCTATCGGTTTTCAAGAACCAAAATTGACAAAAATATTCGCTATAAATAAGACAATTGAACATATCCAAATCTGAAATGAACAAATCTGACAGAGAACCACCCACCAGTTTGTGTTTTTTAAGAAGAAGTCGAAAATGTAAAGTTGATCATGGCGACGAGGACGACGGACAATCAGTAATACTATAAGCTCCGGAAATGGGAAAAAGTTGCCTGTCCAAAATCAAAGTTGCCAGTCCATTTGGTGGATTGACTGGTGGCTGGCTAACAAAGAAAATCCAAAGAAAGCCAATTTACATTGATATTCTTCAATACAAAAAATGATGATGAACATTAATTTTTCACTAGAACAGAATAATTTGTTAACAAAACATATACAGCAAATTGGCAAAGTTGTCAAAAAAAATACATAAATATCTGGAGAAAAAATGTTACTGAAAAAAACAAAGCTGAGAAAAATTCCAAGACTTATAATTTTGAAAAATACTTGGATGTGTTGAATTTGAAATAAAGAATTTCAATGACAACATTTCAAACTTTTTATTTTGACTTGTGCATTCATGCCGTTGGTTTACGCCATATTTTATAAGATCTAGAATGTGCCAGTTTAAGGTATGCAAAATTGGGTAGTACGGTACAAGTCCAACTTAACCATTCTTCAATGTGTTTATTTTTTAATAATCAAAATGACAGTGTGCATTCCTTTTCGTACATATTATCTCAATTTTCATGCAAGAATTTAATCTTTTAATTGTAAATATTCTTTAAATTCATGCAGCATATATATAAATACAACGTGTCTGAAAAGTGGCTGTCGTTGGTGGCGCAATATCTTGTTGATATATACATGTGCAAATCGACTTTCTATATCATACAGCTAATGACATAGATCACATTCCCACATCATTCACTTTAAGATACTATGGACCAAAGATGTTGTAACAGTTGTCTTGAATCACACAACATCAGAGTGGCACGTCTTACTACTCACACACACTGAACAATTAAATATGACACTAAGGAACTATTGGTAAGGAGATGGTAACCTGATTTGATATATACACGAGATAATGATGTGCCCTACCCTGCTTCACATATTACATCTTGTTTAGCTTACATCAAAAAATATCTCAAACTTTTCGCAGTCATGTGGAACTTTCATGAAATCATTGATAGGTGGCGCTGTTGTAAATTAGAAGCCTGCTTTACGATTCACTGCTTAAAAAAATCCACTCTCTCAACGACATAGAGTGAAAAGATTTGATTCACAGGGTTCTGGAATACGACTCCAGACAGATGGAAACCAAATTACAAGTCCTTGTTTCAAACTTCGTTCAATGGGAACTAACAAACCATTGTCATAGCTATAAGTGGTACATTATCAACACAGAATGAGTCTTCAACAATGTCAAATTATTTGCTTTCAACTTACTATCACATAAAGGAAACTTACGACTATTTAGATGAAGCTTTTAGATTGGACGGCAAGGAATATACGGATGTTAGCTATTATAATCATAATACATTCTATATAAAATTTTAGTAGTATTTCCAATTTTAACTTGCCTTTTCTCAATTTGTGACGAGGTTTCATGCAGATGAACATACCAGTACATCACACATACACCAATCAATTGTGGGATAGAGAAGGAAGAGTGTACAAGACTTGCAGCCTAATCATTGGTTACAACATTGCTTACATTTCAAAGTCATTGTGGAGCAAGTGTTTGAATTTTGTGTGAACATTTTTATTTCTCAGTTTTCGCCATTTATACACTTCCATAATATTTTATTGAAAAAACACTAAAAGACAAACAAAAAGACAGTATGCAAGTCTACCTCCCTCCCCCAAATACAAGAGTTTAATATATAATATACATTTATCGATAGAAGAACCTTAAACATTGAGTGTGGGACTACCAACTCGTGTAGAATACAGTATTATACTATAAGTCAGTCTGTCTGAGTATGTGCCCGAGAACACGATGTCATTTGCCAATGATCTCATAATACATTTATCACAAACATGGGTTTCAGGCTGGAATATTTATCATACACACCTCTCGGCCACTATACATGAAATTCACTCACAATCACAGATTTCAACAAGTAACAAAATTAAGCTGAACTTTGGTGATGGTCGCCCATTAAATCTACTGAATAGTCAATAAGCGACAATACTATATAGTAATCAGTATTCTCCCCATAAAACAAGTCATTGTTAATGACATAGTACCTGCTGGTATTAGAAGAAATGTGATTCATGGGAAAAAAAAAGTAATATGCATCAAAAGCATAGTTAATAATTTAGAGTGAATAATTGGCTGGTCTAGTATCAACAGAAATTAGATGTATTAAACGCCTTTTAAGATGATATACATGAATTTTACTCTCCAATTCAAACGCATACATCAATATCCAGTCAATTTTTTGCAAGCGCAGCCATCTTGAACAAGCATTCTGGTGTGTAGAAACAGTCGACAATACAAATAGCAGCAGTCAATACATTATTCACTGGATCAAAAATACACAGAATTTTTTTAATCTAAACCATATATAAAATTTCTATGAAAGCACTTGACAGGACTGCAAAATACCCATGATGCATTTCTTCTTAAGTGACGGTATTTTTTCACTTCAATAAATGATTTTAATACTTCACTGCTTCAAAAGAAATATTCCAGGAGCTCTGGGAATACAGTCAAGGCATAGACTTTACGCTCCATGGAATAAATACAATTAAAATGTTTATTTCTTGTCGTTTAGTCCATATTTAGATTTTAATTTGTCGAGTTCTTCTTTCTTCTTTGTTTGGTCCATTTTCTTGAAAGCCTACAAAAGTACATCAGAACATGAGAACATGAGTAAATGTTAAGTTATTGAGTTTTTGCAACATAGTTCAAAACAAAATGAATTCTTTTGTTTTTAGTTACTAAGATTACAAGCATTCTGTACATAGAGAGACTCAAATTTCATAAAATTACATTTAGTGTTTTGGAATAGTGTATGAAATATCTGTATTTTTTAAAAGTCACCATATGATAGCCTTAGATACCTCTGGTAAGTTCAAAGCTTATGTACACGTCACAGTGGTACATTTCATAAATGGCTAGCTTCTGTTCTAGAGTTAACCAAACATTGAAACAAAATCAATTTTCATTGGTGTGATTATAATTTATAATAGCCAGACTTAAATACGGCAGCCAACACACTGCAGAAGTAAAATTTATTATTATTGAGGCTGCATTGGCATTGATTTCACTGCAGATTTTTTTTTAAAGGTGACTAACACATTTTAAAAGGTAAAACAAGTACTCAGATTTGTTGATGAAACTGAACAGATGAAATGTATTTTGACCCATTACGCAATAAAACTGTATTTATTAAAGTGATAAAAATCATTTTTGATTTTGTGACCATGAAAAAGTAATTGTGTTTTGATGGAAATGCCATCTATGTTTTTGTAATCACTGTGAATTTCACTCTTAAAATTCTACCTGTTGTATTCTAAAAAGATTCTGCTTGAGAACACCCAAAATTAAAGACGAACCCTATATTTAGACAAGAAGTAGGTCCTATTTGTGATAAGGAAAAACAAAATTAAATTGTTAATTGCTTTCTCACTTGTTTTAAAAAGATGTTTTAGGCAATCCCAGAATTCAATGTCTGTAATACTTTTATACACTCTTAGAAATGTAACTAAAATTCCATGTTATCACAAGACCAGAGAATACTTACTCTGTTTGCTTGGTAATAAAGTACTACCAAATATCTGTTACAAACGTTGAAACCCGACAAGTGATCACAGGCATTTTTTGCATCAAAAATATCTTCATAAATAACATATGCTGTGCCTTTTGTCTCTGGAGTGTACCCACTGCAAAATAAAAGAGAAGTCTCTATTTAAATTTACAGTACTAACAATATGATATTGACAATTATAAATTTTAAACACAAGAACAAATTCTTGAAAGGGCATGAAAAACAAATAAGAAAATAATAAATATTAAGATGTAAGTGTATAAAGGAATGGATGCTATTGATATCAACCAACCAACACAGCTTAAAGCATTATAATAGTACAGTGGCTGGCTGCAATGCTCACACGCCCTAGACCAGGGGAAATTATGCAAATAAGTTGATTACCCAGAATGCAACACACACCAAATTTGTACACAATTTACTTTAACAAAAGAAAACCTTTTAGAAAAAACAATGAATATCATTGTATTAAAAATAAACAAAAATATTAAAAGGCAGAGATGTAATATTAAAAGTTGAGTGAAGTTCAGATAACTTATAAGCCACTTCATTATTTCTGCTCACCGTGTCCAATTATTTGCAGCACAATATGATACATATATAGCAAGACATGAGTATTAACATGATGTGTTGTATGAAAGGAGAGAAGGTTAGCACTCCCCTTGACAAGGACGGAATACACCCTCGGGTGTTCAACACATATACGGTTAAGGCATTGCCACTTACTTCGTGGCATCTAACCATGTTTTTAAGGGGGAAGCTAGATTACACATAGCAACATCAAAACACACTGTAGGATGCTTGTCATAATTCTGTAACAGGATTTCAACAAGACTACATTTCTGTCTATCCAAGGAATTGTTGTCAATCATGTCACCACAGATAATTCTAGTACAAGTGTGGAAAAGAGTGATATTGACATGAACAGTAGAACTAAGTTGCTGCTTTGAAGTCAACCTCATATGAAAACTTCTGCATACAACTTTTTTAATCTTTATGAAAATCTTTTGGACCCAATAGCCCGGAAACTTATTATTACACGTACATGTACAGTCAAACCTGTGTTAACGGCCACCTGGATACAGCGGCCACCTGCCTATAGCGGTCGCAACGGAACAGTCCCAACGAAAATTACATGTAAAGTACCCTGTATATAGCGGCCATCTGTCTAACGTGGCCAACGGCCAGGCTTCAGCGGCCGTCGCGATCAGTTGCACTGCATATAACGAACATAGTTCCCGGATGTCTTGCAGAGTATTGCCTTAAACCTCAGACAACTAATAAGCTCCAAAGATCACAAAGGAAAAAGTTAGCACGTTTTCACACCTTTCATTCAACCGATGGTTTCGGCAATTATGTTTTATTCAGTTTACCACGGCCAGCACACCGTACCGATGGTCTGGGAAGGCCAAAAAATAATAATAAGAATTTGAAAGTGTCCTGATAAAAACCTGTGTCATTAATGTTTTGTCGAAATATGTATACCACGGGAATAACTTGGACAGAAGTGCTTTGTACCAGGGGTTTTGTTCTATGAATCGAGCAACCACAACGATGACGACCTGAAACGTTTTGTGAATCGCCAGGGCACAGTCCCTATGTGGCCAGGGTGAATCGGAATGCCGACGGTAAATCCCAGATCGAATTGATTACCAACAGAAAAACATAACAACTCACTTGTTATTTAGTATCGATATTCATTCACTTTGAACTCTATAAATATCGACAAATACGCAAGTAACTGGAACTGATAGCAAAAGGGAAAAATCAACGCAACGACCATGACTGTTGTTTTTCCATTCAAATAAATTATGCTAATTAGCCTTGCGCATGTGCGTTCTTGTTCTTCCGGGGTTATGATAACTTGGGTCAAAAAGTAGAGTCGTTTCCGTTACTGTGTATCGATCACTGTGAGGGAATGTGTGTGCAGTATCGTCTCGTTTTTTTCGGTCGCTACTGCCTCAGTACATGCTTTTAACAATGTTAAATTGACCTCACTTCGCCGACCAAAAAAACGCCAGGCATATTTCACATGTTTCTATTGTTGCAGCAGTACAATAACATGGAAGTCGCCCAGATTTCAATTGCGCAAAGTAATGTTTTGAGGGATCAATCATTTCGCAAGTGAGGGAGGTCAGGACGATTTTTGAAGAAAAAAAACACAAAATGTTAAGGGTATTGTGATTGGGGAGGAAACTTTCAAGTTGTCACGTAACTGGAAGAAGATCCATCAGTACAATAGATAAGTTTTTCGTATACATTGTAGGGATCAATAAAGCACTGCTAACTGTTCCTCTCCCTTCTCCTTGAAAGAATTTGCTATAGCCCAGAAACATTCCGATTTATTAGTGTACGAGACACACTCAATATTAAAAGAAACGCACAAATTCAGAATAGCTAAGCAAAGCAAGCTAAGTGATTTCTTTAGTAGGAAACGAGACTAAAACTGCTGCTGAACATGAACTTTTAATTTTCGGTACTACTCATTATTGTGCAGTGGTCGACTTTTGTGAAATGATTTTAATTTACATAATATATTTTAAAATTGAATAAAAAATCAACATTTTTTATTTGTAAATGTAATAGCGTTTGGATACTGTGTACAGTAGTGTGATAGTGTGTGTCAAATTGGGTTGCCAGATCTGTTTTAATACATTCATTCAATGCCTAATTAATATTCATGAATAAATTAGTAAACCTGTATAGAAAGGCCACTTGTCTCAGAAAGGCCAAAATCTCAAAGTTCCATGGGTGGCCACTATAGACAGGTTTGACTGTAATAACGTAAATAATCCATTTAAATATTGGAATCAGCCTTTCTTCAAATGATTTTTGTTTTCAAGTCGGATATTGGTGTTGGTGTGAATGAAAGGTTGCGTACAGACTGCTTGAATTTCAGTTGTTTTACAGATTCCAAAAAAACAGTTACAATGGAAAAGCATGTTCAACATTTTTTGTTCGATTACAATTACAATTTTGTTTCGACATTGCAATGATCAACAAGCACATGCCAACCCAAATAATCTTTGCATCCTTCTGAGGTGCAGAAATCAAGAGTGGGATGATTGAAATACCTACATTTCCCATTTGTCAATAAAACTAATACTTACACTCTTATTTGCCTGATAGCTCCATACTTTCCAAATATATCGTACATTTCTTCTGCAGTTATTTTGTATGGCAGGTTACGCACATAAAGTATGCGATTCACTTCTGGTGGAAGACGCACCTACGAATACACATTTGAAACAATAACATAATATTACGATCATGATTACTAAAACAAGATTACCCAAAGATGTATACAGTAAATTCATTCCAAAATAAATCAACAAAAAAGCTCAGATCTATTTGCAAGAAACACACACAAATACCATGTTTAGGGATTTCTATGATTTTTTTGCTTTTGTTGTGAAATGATTTCTGATTGAAAGGACACATTTGTATTTCATCACTACAGTGATTCCTGTAATCAGATGTATTTGTTTTGACTAGCATAACCAGTAGTCATATTCCATGGCGCCATATATTGAAACGTTGATTTTGTAATAATTACAACACTGTGGATGGGACGTTAAAATTTAGTCTACAGTGAAAATTGTTTTGACAGAACGCTCTCATCTTTCTCATCGCTCAATTGATTTTGACTGTAAAGTCAACCACATGTTCATCCGCTAGACCACGAGATACAAGCCCTTTGGGCTAGGCTTCATGGAAGACAAGGGTGTTCATTTTGATTTCCAAGGCAAGTGTTATAAACAGGTTATGTTAGCAGTCTGGAGGAGTAGTATGTACACAGAATGTGCATAGGAAGGTTCGTTCTCAGTTTTACTGTATACGGGATCGGTACTGTCAATAGACCGACACAACTGAAAGTCAGAAGATTTTCTTTGCGACAGTTTACCAAAATCTGGTTTTGTATCAAGTAGCCGGTGAACTGCTGCATTTACACTAGTGAGCCATCATCAACTTGGATTTGTGTAGTTCTGCGTCACTTTTCCCCGACAATGTATATATTACGTGTGTGATGTTTCAACTCATGGTATATTGAGCTAGCTCTGTGTTTGATGCAAATGACGAAACAGACTAACATGTACTTGGTTTGAAATTTAATTGTTATGTCATAAAATATTTAAACAAGCTAATTGTAATCCATTCAAAAAATGTTTATATTAGTTGTTTTGTGGGATTAGCAGGGGGTCATTCCAGTTTTTGATAAATTAAATATATCAAAAATATGACACCTCTCGGAATTAAGCCATCAATACTTTTTGTAGAAATATGACCCTTCGGATTTAAACCATCCGTAGGGGGGGACTGGAATGACACAGGACAGGGGAGAAAGATAAGCATTTATCTACTTAGTGGTCAGAGGCGGAGTATTACCCATGTTAAACATCCACGTCAATTTTGCGACTTTCCTTAAGCACAGGACATTACAAATAATTGTAAAATACGCACGCTTTCACAGGCAGCTTATTGGGTGACACATTTTATGTGGAAGTGCAAGTATCCGGACAAAAACACTAAGCGATCACAAATTATTTGAGTGCCAACGAGTCTTGTTTTCTTGTAATCGAGATTGATTATGATCGTAGCTACATTCCCCGTTGTTCTGCTCATATCAATTCATAGTCTATGGGTTAGACTGATTCAATAAAACGCCAATATTGTCATTAAACTAACTAACAAACCAACTCACGTTTTGTCTCCTTTGCATCGCCATCTTGAGATCGAGTTCGTACTAAAAACGTAGTCTCGTTTCACTCTCGCGAGAATGACGCGAGATCCTACGCAACGATGATGTCATGCCTCTGCGGCGCATGCGTCAACAGCTGGAGAGCGAAATTCAGGAAGTGTTTCTGATATCACGAATCCAAAAAACTTTCCCTGTAATTAACAGTCTGTGGTACCGTAATCAAAATCTGAAATGGATTCTAAGAACAACCCACCGACCTACGACAAGATATACCCGGGAATGAGCCCCACAGGTGTGTACTTAGTGTTTATTATACAAGTTTATTATCGAAAGTGTAATTAATTTTTGACTCGTCTACGATCACATGCTTCTGTGAATGTGTACGTGGAGCTTCAAGTCTCTGCTTCAAACAGTTGTTGTGTTTCTCCGACGGTGTTATTTCTCAATACTTGCCGTAAAAGCTGGGATTGCCGTTCACTTTCGATAGTGCGTTGACTTTGTAAACATCTATAAATTTTGGAGTCGAAACTATGTTAAAACTGTTTATGTCATTCTGGGTTACTATAACCGTTATATGATGACGACATAATATTGTTTTTGTATTTTTATACAAATAGTAAGTTATACTTTTTTTAAATTCGGTGAAATTAAGTCCTAGGTCATAAATAATTCACTTGTTGCATGGGGTTTGAAATTCACATTGGTATTGCATTTGTTCCCCTGGAAGTACTAGGATACATGATGTGTGATCTTTATGATCTATATGATCTATATGTAGGAAGTCTCACGTGTTTACATGCTGTGTTCTTATGGCTTTGTCTACACATTGATTGGTTGGCAAGAATCAGTTTCTTACTCTCAATGATAAAAAGAACATTTTTGCTGCTGCTGTTATAAAATAAGCATGTTCCTGTGTGGGTTAATAAAACAATGTATGGGCATTGTACAATGTCATCACAGATTGTAAGCTAGTGCTGATTTGTCCAATATGCACATACTGGTTAACATGAAATGTAAACAAATGATTATAATAATCTTGAATAATTATGTATTGTGTGTAGTTATCTTGGTACTGACCAACGATAAATAGATTAAATTACTTTTTTTCAAAATACAAATACCTCACTATAGTGTTTAATGTATGAATAATTTAATGACGTGATAAATATATAAATACAGTATATAATAATAATAGCACATGTGCTCATGTAAATGACAGAGGTGCATCTATGTGTATGGGCTGGATGAGTCCTATTTCAGTGATCCAGTATACAATAGGTGCAATTTTTCATTTAATGTGCACTACTAGGTGTATTAGATTTAGATATGAAGTGATACATTTATGTAGTTGGGTATTTTTGTTGACCTTTGTATGAGGTTGTGTCAACTGTTGACTGCTATCTTTCATGTGATGTTAAATCTGCACTGCTTTGCTAATGTTTATAAACGATTGCAAATTTACTAGGTCCTAAGCAGTGCTATTTTGTGTTAGGTTGATAATAAATTTGTAACAGGAAGTAGAAAGGTTGCTGTAGCTACCTGCCATGTAATATCAAATCCCAAATAATCAGAAAAATTGTTGTATATGTGTTTTAAATATAATAATAATTTAATAATATTAATGTACCAAAATGTATATATTACTGTAATCTGATGTGTGGTACAATGGTTGCAACTGTGTTCGTTCAGCATCAGAAAGATTCTGTGTTTCACTCCCGCAGTCTTCTCTTCACTCAGCAGTGAAAAAAAAAAAGAGTACCGGTACATACTGTCTTAACAAGTAAGCGATGTGTAGAATTCCTGAATCTACATAAATAGTGTACACCGGTAATGACTGTATAATTACCATTATTAGATGAAGGATGAGTTGTGCTTTAAGGTGTAATTGGTTAACAGGCATCCCTTGTGGGGATATCAGACTGAATGTCTGTCTGGATTAATTAATTAAGCAAGCAATCACTGTCACTTCTTCTTGTGACAAATGTTCAAATATTTTCATAAACATTGGTATGTGTTTTTATTCTTTGTTTTTTATATGACTTTCTAGATCACAAAATTTTCTCACTTCTTAGCTGATGCTTTTATTCACAGTATTAGAACATAAACCCTACAGAATTGCTCTTTCGGTGGATGTGCAAATTAACCAACATTTTTATATCATTCATTCATTCATTCATGAATATGAATTATTATGACTATCATAGACACATGCACCTCCAGAAACTGCATGGACATCATATTCTGCTTTCATGGCCCCTACTTTGAGAAAGAATTCGTCATAAAGGTACAGAGTCAATTCTGCTTCATTTCTCGACATGACTCGTTACAATGCAATCCCTTCACCTCTGTCATTTACTTAAACACATGCAAATATAGTACGGTAATATAATTTGCGTGATTGTGCAGTCTACAAAACTGAGTACTATATGTGCTCTTACAAAGCACTTCTATCCCATCACCAGTGTCTGTCATTACTCTTCTTGGGCATCTGTGTCATGCTGGGACCCTCCCCCAAATTCTCTCCTCACAAACACCAGTTGTAATCATGTATTATCGTAACTGTACAAACGTGTTCTTTTTGATGTATCATAAAAACTGGTCTTTTTTAATTGCATTGGAAAAATAGTTCTTAGATACAAAATTACTGGTTGAACTTTGAGTCAGCTAGCTTACATAATGCATCATTTGTTGACAGAAACACAAATCACAAATGTTTTATGGCCACAAAAACCAAACAGATTACAAATACATCCAAATTTTATCCTGGCAAAAAAAGACTTGCAGATTTATCGCATGAATGGGGAAAATAAATTCTCTCTTTTTGATGTCAGAAAAGTAAGGGGTATATTTGTATGTACAAAAAAACAAAATTCTAGAAGCCAATAAATTACCCGTACAAATAATTATGTGGTTTATTTTTAGAATAGGCAGAGTTTTTTATTCTTTATGGTACTTGCCATTTTTTGAAGGACACAGATTGTTAAAAAATCATGTATGATTATTTCATTGGATTCTGTTGCCAGCTTCTCACCAGACATGAGACATTTGGGTCATGGTTTATATACTCTCATGAGACTACAGGTAATTGTCTCACAAAAATCCAAGAAAATACAAGTCATTCATAAATGTGAATTAAAATTTAATGAAATGACTCTTGTTTTTATAATAATAATAATAATATATTTGATATTTGATGCCAAGCCTTTTTACAAAAGACATTTGCATTTGAGATCCATGGTACACGTATATTTATAATAAGAGGTACATGGATGGGTAGTGATTGGAATATAAACTTGAGTTATTCTTTTATAGTTCAATGTCAAACATGGTGTTGAGGTACCTTTACTTCATAGATCTTCACTCAATGTGTATAGCACATTGTTGAGTGTGAAAATGAAGTTCTTTTAGACATGTTGAATGTTTTGACGCCATCTCAGTGCTATGACCTTTGTTTAACTTATTTTAACGTCTGATTTAACACATAATGCAGAATTTTGAGAAAATGAAAAATTGTTTGTCTCGCATTTTCTAAACTAATGGAACATTTCTGCCTTACATATTAACCCACCCACCCCACTGTATTGGGTGGGGGGTTAAAGGATGCAATGTTTTCATGAAAATATGTTATGATTTATCTGTGTTTATGATAATTAGTGGACATATTTGCTAATTTGAAAATGAACAATGTAAGTCACTGAGAAGCTTTTTGTGTCTTAAGAATGTCAATGAAATGCTACGATATATCTTGAATTAACAGAATGGCAAAAATATGTCTTAAGAAATTAAAGCCATTTTCATTCATTCATTGATAATGGGTAGAAAAAAAATTCTTTTACTTGTGATGAATGAGAAGATTGGGAATTGATTTCATCAAGACTGAATTGCATTAATCTCTAAAGAGTCTTGAATGTCACTAACATGTCAATTTATAAATTCCACACAGTGTAGAGAAAATCCTTCAAGGTAGAACAGAATATACATATTTTACAATCAATAAATAGGTTAACAATTAAATTAATAACAGACTGGTAGCTTTATGATAGTTACCCATTGGGACAACAATGAAAATAGATTGTGAATACAAAAACACAACATGCGTTTCCTGTTTCAATATTATTACCTATATTTTCACTGAAGAAAAAACACTTCCAAATAGTATTTTAATTGAGAATATCAGTAAAAACCATCTCCTTCCCAAAAATATCGATGTCATATTGTACTGTACTTCCACCCAGGGGCCTGAACATGTAAAATTGGGAAAATTAGGGGTGGGCTTATACTCGAGGACCACCTCAGAAAAGATAATTTTTTAGGGGCTTTAAAATTGTAACCATCTTCCCAACAACGAAAAATTATCCAAATTACATTTTTCTCGGAGAAATATTACGTCTTTTTGATTTCTGCGACACTATTTACAATGAAGAAACAAACGTGTTCATAAACATTGTATTACAATACGATTTACATACCGCCTGAATTTACGGTACAAAAATGGGTAGGGTCTGAGGGAAAACAGTTGAAGGCAAGATCTTTATCATTATCTTCGTTGTGGAATGTTTTCGATCGTACGCAAACTCTCGATACAAAGTAATTTCCGCCATGGTGTTTTTCATCATGATTTGACCTGAACAACTTCCTTTGACCTAACAGGTCACGTCTTTCGTTAACCAATCAAAATGCTGTGTCGTACAGACGAAGTTTTCCGATTATTGACAAAGTCATTTTTCAACGCAATGCAGAAGTGAATTACCGTGATGTTAAAATGTGATCTGCTTTTGACAAAAAACGGTGATTATTTTCCTAAAGCTGTTGATCTGCAATTTTCGAAAGGTAAACTGAGGGTGGAGGAAGTATTTAAACTGTTCACGGTCGCCAATAAGTCATGTCGAAAAATAGTTTGCTCGTTCACATCCCATTCGCGAAGGTCTCAATGAACACTATTATTCGGAAAAGTAAAACGATGTTCAATGACCAGGTTTCAAGACTTGACAATGACATTTTTGACGTTTCTAAAACTACTACTGAATCAGTATTGCAACACTGGGGCTCATCCTGAGTAAATAACAGAATAAAAAAGGTGCGAACCATGTTCCATACGTTCGCCGGACATGCACTCTGAAATTAATGCGAGTTTTCTTGTAAAAGCAGGAACCAAACTACCGTACCAATCACGATTATTATGCAATGAAATACACTTTTTACGTGAATATTTGTAATGAATGTAGTTGACATCCGGTAAGAACACCCTGGGTCTATACTTAGGGATATCCTCAACCTGTTAAATGTCTAAAA